GGTCATAACCACAAACTTTCATTTTGTAAGAAGCTCCATGTAAGATATCTCAAATACTCCTTAAATTTACTGGCCACCAAGCGCATTAGGGCAAGTGAGCACCTCTTACTTTTTGAAAGCCTTCATATTTACTGGCCACCAAGTACAGAGGGCCAATTGGACACTCGTTTCATTTTTAAAACATCTCCACATTTTTTCCGGTCACCGAGCATAGAGGGCAATTTGACACCCATAAATCATTTCAACCTTTCCCACCCACATTTATTGGCGTTTAGCACGGAAGGACAATTAGGCACCTTTACCAATATACCAATAATATACCCATATTTTCCGGCCTCCAAGCATGGGAGGGCAATTGGGTACCTCAACACACACACACACACCTTTAAATAATTCAATACTTAATCCATTACCATGTAAATACAATGAAATGCATGAGTTTCCAAACATTCCTCTTTATCCAAATTAATTACACAAGAATTCAACAAATAAAAACTAATGAACTAATCTCATTTTCAAAACTTCAAGTCCTACTCTTTACCAACCATAAACCCATGCAAAATATTACTTTATATTCTCCCAACATTCTAAGTGTTCATACAATTCAACTTCTTTAAATCACCAATAATATCATCATGGATCATAAATTTATCTAACTCACATATCCACATGTAAAATCAATTTAATTTTCAACGTAAGATACCAATTTGTTCGATCCCTCTTTTAAAACAACATCAAAACAGCCTACGGTTTCAAGAAAAAAATTGGCAGTTTTGCTCATTTCATTATTAAATACACAAATCATCAAATGCTACTCATTGATATTCCAAAACATTCAACATATTTCAAAATTTTGAGTGAAAACCCCATATTTGTACATAAATAATCTTTCATTGAAGCTTTCTAACTCATAATCACCGCAAAAATCCCAAAATGTCACAAGATCATACCAAATCATATATATTTATATATATATATATATATATAGAGAGAGAGAGAGAGAGAGAGTTAAGAAAATCCCCTACATCAAGAATGTAGGCAAACAACGAAGACCTAAGCACGAACGCCGATGAAATCATTATCTAATCGGTCAATAACACTATCTACACTTCTCTATCTATGGTTAATACTTAGTGTAAAGAGATGAAATCAAGGATTTGAGGGCTAGGGTTTTCGGACATAGAGGAGTGAGAAAGAGAAAAGAGAGAAAAAGAGCAAAAAGTGGGTTTTATGATGGTAGATCCCAAACAGACTGCTTAAACCACCACTCTTGCGCTTAAGCGTTAGAGACCACACTGCTCGAGCAACCAACCCCGCGCTCAAGTGAACATCAACAACTCCTAGAATCTCAAATCTGCAAAAATACTAGAAGCTTCACAAGACCACTTGAGTGAACAATCCGTCGCTGTAGCGAAGAGAAATTTTTTTTTTCCAAGGTGTTACATAGTGGGTGGTGAAGGTTGAGATGATGGTTGAGCCAGAGATGTGGGATTAGGGAGGTAGAGGTTGGTAGAGGGGCAGTACAATGGTGGTTTGAGGTTGTTGTAGAGTTGATAGAAATGGTTGGTTTTGGTTTTCGGCCTAGGTATGGGTCTAGATTTGGGCATTGAGTTTTAGATCTTACTTTTGTATATGTGGAGCCACATTGCTAGTGTGGCAATTCTGTCAAATTTTTTGGCGAAAGTTAGTTTTAGGAGTAAACTGGGGAAATTTTCAAACTTGAAGGGTCAAAGAGGGAAGAAAAAGATTTCAAGAACCAAAGTGGGAAAACGCTCAAACTTAAAAGGGGGAAAAGTGTAATTACCCTTAAAAATAACTGTAAGTTACAGGTGCAGATCGCGCCATTTGCAAGGCTAAAATCTTTTTATTATGTCTAGCCATGCATACGACTTAACCTTGTTTGGAAACTAAATTGTGAAATGCATAATTTGTAATCCATGTCTGACCCAACTCATTAATCATGGTCGTAACCACAAACTTTCATTTTGTAAGAAGCTCCATGTAAGATATCTCAAATACTCCTTAAATCTACTGACCACCAAGTGCATTAGGGCAAATGAGCACCTCTTACTTTTTGAAAGCCTCCATATTTACTGGCCACTAAGTATAGAGGGCCAATTGGACACCCGTTTCATTTTAAAAACATCTCCACATTTTTCCGGTCACTGAGCACAGAGGGCAATTTGACACCCATAAATCATTTCAACCTTTCCCTCCCCCCCCCCCCCAAAAAAAAAAAAAAAAAACATATAAAAAAATAAATAAATAGATAAATAATTTAGTACAGAAGGACAATTAGGCATCTTTACCAATACACCAATAATATACCCATATTTTCCGGCCTCCAAGCACGGGAGGGCAATTGGGTACCTCAACACACACACACACCTTTAAATAATTCGATACTTAATCCATTACCATGTAAATACAATGAAATGCGTGAGTTTCCAAACATTCCTCTTTATCTAAAACCCAATGCCCAAATCTAGACCCATACCTAGGCCGAAAACCAAAACCAACCATTTCTATCAACTCTACAACAACCTCAAAGAGGGAAGATTTTGTCACATTGCTAGTGTGGCAATTCTGTCAAATTTTTTGGCGAAAGTTAGTTTTAGGAGTAAATTGGGGAAATTTTCAAACTTGAAGGGTCAAAGAGGGAAGAAAAAGATTTCAAGAACCAAAGTGGGAAAACGCTCAAACTTAAAAGGGGGAAAAGTGTAATTACCCTTAAAAATAACTGTAAGTTACAGGTGCAGATCGCGCCATTTGCAAGGCTAAAATCTTTTTATTAAATATAATTTGATCAATTTAGATATGTCAGTTCAATTTTATTATACCCGTCAGCCAAATGGAAAGACTTCATAGAATCGCGTTTACCAATAACTACGTTCGAAATTGTCTGCATCCTTCACAGTTTGGTCAGTTCGTGCAGCGTTAGTTTCTTTCAATCACTCATCTTGTTTGCTTAAAAGACTATGTTTGGATGATAACAATTTTGAAAGAATTGCTCGTAATAAAATTTTTGTATCAATATTATTCAAGTATTTGTTTTTATTAGGAATTCTCTTTGAGAAAATAATAAAAAATTAAATAGTGTAAACATAATTAATATTTTTCTTCTTATGCAACTAACATTCCTTGAAGCATATGAATTTGTCATGATAAAGTGAGAAAATCATATTCGTACTTACGCTTTGTTTGTTGGGGTAGAAAAGATTTTTTGAAAAATATTTTTTGTATTTTCTAATATTGGTACAATGAAAAATGAAAGTGAATGAGAAATATTATTTGGGCGTAAAATATTTCTCACTTCGTTGTTTTAGATATGACTTATAAGCTGACTTTTTTTGCTTATTATAAAAAGACGTGCAGAAAAATAGATAAGTGTTGTAACCCTAATATGCCAATAAGCAACTTATTTATGATGTTGCCAAAAACATTTTTCAAACTAAACTTTTACCAATGTAACCACAATACTACCGCCACACCACCATCACCACGGCTATTCCCACCATCATCGTAGCCATCACCGCCATCGCCACACCACCACTACCAAATATGGAAAAATATTAGTTTGAGGTTGTGATTATTGTTAGAACAAGTTATCAAGAATTACCTTTCTATTCTAACCTATTTCAAATGTTATAATCATGAGAATCATAATTACATTTCCATTGTCTCCAAATTTTTGTCGTCCGAGCTTAGCATAATTTCTTTTATAGTATGCTTGACAAATTAGAAAAGAAAAGAACCAAAAAGATAAAAAGCAGAAAGAGGAAAGATAGTGTCTTTTGTCTTTGGGAAATTCTACTCGCACATGACAAGAAATTTCAATACACACCATTTGTGTCGTTCAGATATAAACTTCTGAACAAAAGTTAAATGATTATAAATAAATTTATGAACAAAAATGAATTGTTCAAATATACATTCCATTCAACTATTTATGTTCGAACAACTATTTTTCTTTATAAGTTTACATTTCGACATTTGACTTTTGTTTAAAAAATTCTATCTGAACCATATAAATGGTGTCTACTGAGATTTTCTATAATGTGTAAATAGAATTACAGTTTTTCTTTTCTTATTTATATAAACTTAGAATAGAATAGTATAGTTCTCGGCTCTTGTTTGGGGAAGATAAATGAGAGGAAAAAAAAGACAAAGAAACTTTTTTTATGTGAGTCAAAAATATTTTTCATTTTTTTTAGTTGGGGCAACAAGAGTGGCTTTGCCCCTTCCCAAAAATAAAAATAAAAATAAAATAATAATAATAATAATAATAATAATAAAACACAAAATAGGAAATAAAATGTAGGAAGAAGCTTTCCTTCAATCCAATTGTTGGATTAGATGGTCCAATTAAGGGGTTGTTACTCGATTTATCTTTTTGTGTCTGTTAAATAGATCATCGGTGAACCCCCAAGGGTTGGCCTAGTGGTGTGGGTTTGGGACTTAGGAGTTTGCTCTTCTTTAGGTCTCAAGTTCAAAACCTCTTAGGTGTTATCAATCCTTGTGTTGGGCCAGTCCATACAGAGCTTTGCTCTGGCTTTAAATGGACCCCCGCTAGTGGACGGTGGGATTGGTCCCCCAGGGATTAATCGAGGTGCGCACAAGTTGGCCCGGACACCTTGAGTTATCAAAAAAAAAATAGACCATCAGTGTAAAAATTAGGTTGAAACAGAATGAAACACATGAAGACACGAAGTTGGAGCATTTGGTAAAGCTTTTAGTGCTTAAACAACACACTTATGAATAAATATTAACTATAATGGTAACATTATTTTCTATTATTTCACCAATTAATAAAAAATCATAAAGGAGATTAAATAAATATCTCTCATCTCCCACAAGCCCAATCATATAGTATCTACTATCACAATGTGGAAGCTCTTATCAATTTTTAATAAGATATCACCTCAATACTCAATATGTATATAGCCAAAGGTCATTTTATTTTTAACTTCTATTCTTGTTTCTCTAATTCTGTGTCACAGATTTAACGCAAGTGATCTTCTCAATAGGAGTCGCAACAGCCGGATAGTATTTGCAGGGGACTCTATTGGTAGAAACCAATGGGAATCCTTGCTATGCATGCTAGCACAGGGTGTTTCAAACAAGTCCACAATATATGAAGAAAATGGCAACCCTATAACCAAACACAGGGGCTTCCTCTCTATGCGGTTCCAGGAATACAACCTCACTGTCGAATACTACAGGCTTCCCTTCCTCGTCATATTGGACCGCCCCCCAAAAAATGCATCCAAGGAAGTCCACGGCGCCATTAGGGTCGACGTGCTTCACTGGTACTCTTCAAAGTGGGTCAGAGCAGATGTTCTTGTTTTCAATGCCGGCCACTGGTGGAACCACGACAAAACCATACACATGTATGACTAGTGTTACTCTGTGTTATATATCCACTAGTATATGACTCTGTTTGGTACATTTCTTACAAGTTCAAAGTTCAAAATCAGAAAGTAGAATTTAAAAGCACCAATTTCTCTTCGTTTCAATAATCAACTTTTTTCATCTTACATAAGTTATTTTTACCTTATAAGCTGCAGCAGGAGCAATGTCAATAATAATAATAATAGAAGAAACTATAAGCAACTAAATAAACTGTAACAAACAAGGGTTATTTATATGCTAAAGCTTGAGTTGTAATGGTAATGCATTTCAGGGGACTTTATTTCCAGGAAGGTGGGACTGTGAACATGAGCATGGATGTAATGGAAGCGTTTCGGAGGTCCTTGCAAACCTTGAAGTTGTGGTCAATTCAAAATTTAGATCCTGGAAAAAGTCATATTTTCTTCCGTAGCTACGCACCAGTGCATTACAGGTAAGTCAACTTCAAAGACACCACCAGTTTTAATGGAAACACTCTAAACATGAGTTTCATACATTCTCTTTCTTCGCAAAATCACATCACTATATAGGGGTGCTGTGTAATAACTTGATGTTCTTGACTTGAAACTTGAAATTGTAGGAATGGAACATGGAACGAAGGGGGAAGCTGTGATACTAACACAGCACCAGAAACCGACCACACAAAGATGGAAGCTGAGCCACCAAATAATCTGTTTATCTCTGACGTAGTTAAATTGATGGAAAGGGCTAATCGAAAAGCACAGTTCTTGAACATCTCATATCTATCAGAGTTTAGAAACGATGGTCACCCTTCAAGCCATCGCGAGCCAGGTACACCACCTGATGCTCCCCAAGACTGCAGCCACTGGTGCCTACCTGGTGTTCCGGACACATGGAATGAACTTCTCTATGCTCAACTACTGTCAAAGGGATTCAGAGCTAGGGCCAAATGAAAATCGGTGGTTACTTTAGTAGTTGAGATACTTCTAATTCAGGGTAATTGCTTGGCAATTTCATTGAGGTTAGCGTCAGTAGTTTCCAATTCTTTCACCTTCTCAAGGGCCTCAGGGGATCTAACCTTTTCAGTCCATATGTGGATGGAGGGTATCTGCAAGAGAACAGAGTACTTGATAAGCCAGGGTTAAGCTCCATTAAGCATTTAAGATAGAAAACTTGGGCTCTGGAAAATACTGACCAGCATTGGTACATATCTTTGAATCATGGCTAACATGGCTACATGCCCAACTCCAGAAACCTGTTGTACATTTATTATGGCTCAGACAATGGATTATGATAACTCAAGCACCAAGAGAGGGGGAAAAAAATGGGCACGTTAATGTTATTTGTTTAAAAGAGGGAAAGCAAAGCAAGTAACAGACTTTGTTTGAGAAAAGTTTGATAAAACATCCATAAGAAAACAGTGTGATAAGTCGCTTTATTTTGGTCAAACATTCATATCCTACCCAGACAAATAAAGCCACTGGAAATCAATTAATTATTTTGATATGCATGATTTTACATGTGGCACCCTAAAGTCGGGAATATGAAGGAATATATTAAAAATAAATACATGATTTTTCTAAGGTTACAAATCCAAGAAACGTCACTAATGAATCATTTGATTAATAACCAAGTAAGATCTGAGGAAGGTTGGACAAATCAATATAGTTTCCCTTCAAAGGTTGGTCAATATGGAAGTCTGTTGACCAAAATACCTCCCGCTCGATGTTAAGATTCGAAAACACACTTGCACAATACTTAATCCCCAAATAGGGAACACATCCCACCAATCAATACTTGAATTTTTTTTTTTTTTTGATCGGCAAAATAAATCTTTATTGATGAAATCAAACAAAAAAGATGGAGAACATCAATAAAGAGGAGCTCAAAGCTAGATGAAGCTCAAAGCTCCGGTTGGTGAGAAACCAACAAGAGGAAAAAAGGAAAAAAAAAAAAAACAGAAAGCAGCAGCAAAAACATCCAAAACAGAACACTCCTCTGAAGACGCAGACCAAGATCATGGAATTGACCAAGAAGAAGGCAGCATAACAGAAATCAACTCAGAATTACAGAGCTTCACCCAGCAAATCAACAGATCAAAGAACAAGACAGCATGAAATGCATTCAACAGTTCAGTCAGACAAATAGGAAGCAGTAGATCAGTTACCCTCCTGAGAATAACAATATAACATGAGCTGTGCGGAAGCCCTGCATGCACACAGATCAAACCCAGCCCTTCTATATCAGCAGAGATCTGTAACAGATTGAAACAAAAACCGATAGATGATCTGATAGGAGCCAAAACTGATAGTAGCAGCCAAACTGACAGCCAAACTGTCTACCCATATCTGATCATAACAGAATTTCAGCCAAACTATCTAAGCAGCCAAAACTGTGCACCCTAACTGTGGAGGAGCTGATGCAACAGTGATCACAACAGCAAAATGCAAATTAACAATAGAATCAGACCTAAACAAAGCCAGAACAGAGCACCAAGGAGGAACAGGCTACTGCAGCAGACAGCCACCCAGACTGATAGCCAAACTGCCTTCCAGCAGGAAGAACAGACTAAAATAGCCGCAAGGAGGATCAATCTGAGCCCCTGATCTGCTTCCACTTGAAGACTATATCATCCACTGAGAAGGGGAAATCCTTGACTGATGCTTTGAGCCAGAGGGCAGATCTAAATTTGATGAGATCCAACAGACCAGGAAAATTGGGCTGAGCCTTAGAAAAGACACAATCATTCCTATGCTTCCAAAGAGACCACAATATGACTAAGGGGAGGGCTCTCCAAATTATTCTAACATACTTCTGAAATTTCTCACTCATCCACCAATGAAATAAACCAGCTACTGAATTTGAAATGCACCATTGAAGCCCCCATTCTTTAATCACTGAAAACCAAATCAGCCAAGAGAAAGGACAATGAAGCAAGACATGGATATTAGTTTCAGGTTCAGAATTACAAAATGGACAGAGAATTGAAGCGCTGCTATCAAGTATGCCAATCTTGTGCAAGAACTCTGAAGATTTCACTTTATTTTTCCAGGCCAGCCAGCAAAAGAAGGAGACTTTTGGGGGCAACAAAGAGTTCCAAACCTGTTTGCAAATTCTTAGATTAGGACCAAGGAGGGAAGAGCTGTAAGCAAATAGGTCAGCTACAGAGAACTGATTATGGGCTGCAGCATCATTAGACCATATAAGGTAATCTGCATTTTCATTACATAAAGGAGGAGCATAGGATAAAGCTGCAATCAGATTAGCTTCTTCGATCAATTTCCAATCATACAATTCTCTTCTGTACGGAAAGTTCCAGGCACATGAGCTGGTTTTCCTGGCAAAGAAGTGGTGGAGAGAGCTTTCTTTATCAGTTGAGAGATTAAAGAGAAGTGGAAAGTCAGTTTTCAGGCAAATATCACCACACCATCTATCAGTCCAAAACTTAATTCTATTCCCATTCCCTACTTTAATTAGACAATTGGACAAGAAGAAATTAGAGATGGAGTTGCTGGAGGCCCTGATGGATAAGATGTCACTCCATATTCTAGAGTGCTTATAAGAGGGCCTAACAGGAGGATGCCAACAGTCCTCGATAATCTTGTATTTGCTGCAAATTACTCTCCTCCAAAGAGTATTGATTTGGGTCCCAAATTTCCACCACCATTTAAGTAGTAAACAAGAATTTACATCTCTGATTCTTCTGATGCCCAGACCCCCTTGGTCAATACTTTTTGTAGTCTCCACCCACTTCACCAAATGAACTTTCCTTTTTAGATTATTGCCACCCCACAGGAATGCAGCCTCAATCTTTTCCAGCTTTTTAGCCACACCTTCAGGCATTTTAAACAGGGAAAGGAAGTAGATAGGTAAGCTTGAGAGTGTAGACTTAATCAAGGTTAGTCTGCCTGCAAATGATAATAATTTTCTCTTCCACCCTGACAGTTTAGATTTGATGTTATCAAGAACAGGCTTCCATGTAGATTTCCTACCAGGATTGGCTCCTAATGGTAGTCCCAGGAATTTTAAAGGGAGGCTCTGCACCTTGCAGTTGAGAAGATTAGCAAAAGAAAGCATAAGATCATCAGATACACCAATACCACACACAACACTCTTATGATAGTTGATTTTGAGACCGGATAGTACTTCAAAACATCTAAGAATTCTTTTGACTAACACCAATTGATCCCAGTAAGCTTCACAAAAGAGAATTGAATCATCAGCAAATTGCAAATGTGAAACACGAACATTATTAGCTCCAACTAGCACACCTTTAAGGATGCCAAGGTTAAGTGCTCTAGTTAGGAGAATGTTAAGCCCTTCAGCCACTATGTTTAAAAAAATTGCAAATTTAAAAAATATTCACTAAAAACAAAAAAATACGAAAATCAAAAAAGTCAATTTTCAAAAAACTTAATCCAGAAAACTCAAACCAAACACACTGATTTAGTGTGTTTGGTTTGAGTTTTCTAGATTAAGTTGGGGAGTTAGAATTTGTGGTTGATAGTGGGGGTGTTTGTTTCAGCTTTTCAAAACTAACTTATAGCTTTTAGTTTTAAAAAAGTTATTTTGAATTGTTTGGTTAAACTTATTTCAAACAGCTTCTGATTCTAACAGTTTATTTTAACTAAAAAAAAAATGATTCTGAGAAGCTGCTTACCCCTTACTTCTGATTATCAGCTTCTGCTGTGGACATGTTAATTTATGGTTATACTCTTAGATTTTTTTATTTTTTATTTTTTTAAAAATAGAAAAAGGCCTAAATGGACTATAAATTATTATTATTATTTTTTATGAGAAATGTAGACAAACAAAAAATAAAAATTAATTGAAAAAATTATTTCACAGCTTATTTAACAAACACTACTCAACAACTTAAATCTATAATCCAACAGCTATACCAAACAGATTAACAACTTCTGATTAAAGTCATAATCTATAATCTGTTAAGTTATAATCTATAAGTTATTTTAACAGCTACACCAAATAGGACCGAGAAAGTAAATGTTAATAATTCGAATCGATGGTGTGTTTTAATTTTTTAATTCATTAACATCTTATTTTTTGCTTTGAAAAAAAAAATGAGAAAAGATAAAATCATAGACTAGGGGTCCTTCAAACATATCAAACTAGAGTAGCAATAAATATATTAAAGTATGGTTAAAATAGTTCAAAAAATTATAAAATAAATAAAATTATTAAAAGGGGCAAAAAGTTAAAATTTTTAAAAACCATATAAAAAAATAAAAAATTCCTTCTCAATGTTTGTTTGTAAAAAATCATAGAATTATTGTCAAACATTTTATTTTTATTTTATTTTATTTTTTTATCTCAATTTTAACCAAAAAGCCACTAAAAAGTCACTTTCCAAATAGACCCTAACTAGATATAGTTTGTTTAGGAATTGGCCATATTAGTTGGTTTTTTGAGTTTTTATAAGAAGACGTAAAAAAAAATAAAGAGAGTGATGTGATAATTTGATTTGGCCCTTTGACTATTTTTGCCAAAATGCCGCTCTATGTAAGTGTGTACATGGATTAGATTGGTTTGATTTTAATGAAGAACTGAACCATAAGAATCGGTTCAAGAAAAATTAAAATTGTAAGCAAGTCGTTAAACTATGAAACTAGACCCACCTGGAGTTTTAGAATATCTATCCCATAAAAAGAGACTGAGCTTTTATGCACAGTAGGAAAATAAACTTAACAACATATATATGTTCAATATGATTATACTCATGCAATGTCTAGCCATGCATACGACTTAACCTTGTTTGGAAACTAAATTGTGAAATGCATAATTTGTAATCCATGTCTGACCCAACTCATTAATTATGGTCATAACCACAAACTTTCATTTTGTAAGAAGCTCCATGTAAGATATCTCAAATACTCCTTAAATTTACTGGCCACCAAGCGCATTAGGGCAAGTGAGCACCTCTTACTTTTTGAAAGCCTTCATATTTACTGGCCACCAAGTACAGAGGGCCAATTGGACACTCGTTTCATTTTTAAAACATCTCCACATTTTTTCCGGTCACCGAGCATAGAGGGCAATTTGACACCCATAAATCATTTCAACCTTTCCCACCCACATTTATTGGCGTTTAGCACGGAAGGACAATTAGGCACCTTTACCAATATACCAATAATATACCCATATTTTCCGGCCTCCAAGCACGGGAGGGCAATTGGGTACCTCAACACACACACACACCTTTAAATAATTCGATACTTAATCCATTACCATGTAAATACAATGAAATGCGTGAGTTTCCAAACATTCCTCTTTATCTAAAACCCAATGCCCAAATCTAGACCCATACCTAGGCCGAAAACCAAAACCAACCATTTCTATCAACTCTACAACAACCTCAAAGAGGGAAGATTTTGTCACATTGCTAGTGTGGCAATTCTGTCAAATTTTTTGGCGAAAGTTAGTTTTAGGAGTAAACTGGGGAAATTTTCAAACTTGAAGGGTCAAAGAGGGAAGAAAAAGATTTCAAGAACCAAAGTGGGAAAACGCTCAAACTTAAAAGGGGGAAAAGTGTAATTACCCTTAAAAATAACTGTAAGTTACAGGTGCAGATCGCGCCATTTGCAAGGCTAAAATCTTTTTATTAAATATAATTTGATCAATTTAGATATGTCAGTTCAATTTTATTATACCCGTCAGCCAAATGGAAAGACTTCATAGAATCGCGTTTACCAATAACTACGTTCGAAATTGTCTGCATCCTTCACAGTTTGGTCAGTTCGTGCAGCGTTAGTTTCTTTCAATCACTCATCTTGTTTGCTTAAAAGACTATGTTTGGATGATAACAATTTTGAAAGAATTGCTCGTAATAAAATTTTTGTATCAATATTATTCAAGTATTTGTTTTTATTAGGAATTCTCTTTGAGAAAATAATAAAAAATTAAATAGTGTAAACATAATTAATATTTTTCTTCTTATGCAACTAACATTCCTTGAAGCATATGAATTTGTCATGATAAAGTGAGAAAATCATATTCGTACTTGCGCTTTGTTTGTTGGGGTAGAAAATATTTTTTGAAAAATATTTTTTGTATTTTCTAATATTGGTACAATGAAAAATGAAAGTCAATGAGAAATATTATTTGGGCGTAAAATATTTCTTACTTCGTTGTGTTAGATATGACTTATAAGCTGACTTTTTTTGCTTATTATAAAAAGACGTACAGAAAAATAGGTAGGTGTTGTAACCCTAATATGCCAATAAGCAACTTATTTATGATGTTGCTAAAAACATTTTTCAATCTAAACTTTTACCAATGTAACCAAAATACTACCGCCACATCACCATCACCACGGCTATTCCCACCATCATCGTAGCCATCACCGCCATCGCCACACCACCACCACCAAATATGGAAAAATATTAGTTTGAGGTTGTAATTATTGTTAGAACAAGTTATCAAGAATTACCTTTCTATTCTAACCTATTTCAAATGTTATAATCATGAGAATCATAATTACATTTCCATTGTCTCCAAATTTTTGTCGTCCGAGCTTAGCATAATTTCTTTTATAGTATGCTTGACAAATTAGAAAAGAAAAGAACCAAAAAGATAAAAAGCAGAAAGAGGAAAGATAGTGTCTTTTGTCTTTGGGAAATTCTACTCGCACATGACAAGAAATTTCAATACACACCATTTGTGTCGTTCAGATATAAACTTCTGAACAAAAGTTAAATGATTATAAATAAATTTATGAACAAAAATGAATTGTTCAAATATACATTCCATTCAACTATTTATGTTCGAACAACTATTTTTCTTTATAAGTTTACATTTCGACATTTGACTTTTGTTTAAAAAATTCTATCTGAACCATATAAATGGTGTCTACTGAGATTTTCTATAATGTGTAAATAGAATTACAGTTTTTCTTTTCTTATTTATATAAACTTAGAATAGAATAGTATAGTTCTCGTCTCTTGTTTGGGGAAGATAAATGAGAGGAAAAAAAAGACAAAGAAACTTTTTTTATGTGAGTCAAAAATATTTTTCATTTTTTTTAGTTGGGGCAACAAGAGTGGCTTTGCCCCTTCCCAAAAATAAAAATAAAAATAATAATAATAATAATAATAATAATAAAAAAACACAAAATAGGAAATAAAATGTAGGAAGAAGCTTTCCTTCAATCCAATTGTTGGATTAGATGGTCCAATTAAGGGGTTGTTACTCTATTTATCTTTTTGTGTCTGTTAAATAGGTCATCGGTGAACCCCCAAGGGTTGGTCTAGTGGTGTAGGTTTGAGACTTAGGAGTTTGCTCTTCTCTAGGTCTCAAGTTCAAAACCTCTTAGGTGTTAACAATCCTTGTGTTGGGCCAGTCCATACAGAGCTTTGCTCTGGCTTTAAATGGGCCCCCGCTAGTGGACAGTGGGATTGGTCCCCCAGGGATTAGTCGAGGTGCGCACAAATTGGCCCGGACACCCTGAGTTATCAAAAAAAAAAATAGATCATCAGTGTAAAAATTAGGTTGAAACAGAATGAAACACATGAAGACACGAAGTTGGAGCATTTGGTAAAGCTTTTAGTGCTTAAACAACACACTTATGAATAAATATTAACTATAATGGTAACATTATTTTCTATTATTTCACCAATTAATAAAAAATCATAAAGGAGATTAAATAAATATCTCTCATCTCCCACAAGCCCAATCATATAGTATCTACTATCACAATGTGGAAGCTCTTATCAATTTTTAATAAGATATCACCTCAATACTCAATATGTATATAGCCAAAGGTCATTTTATTTTTAACTTCTATTCTTGTTTCTCTAATTCTGTGTCACAGATTTAACGCAAGTGATCTTCTCAATAGGAGTCGCAACAGCCGGATAGTATTTGCAGGGGACTCTATTGGTAGAAACCAATGGGAATCCTTGCTATGCATGCTAGCACAGGGTGTTTCAAACAAGTCCACAATATATGAAGAAAATGGCAACCCTATAACCAAACACAGGGGCTTCCTCTCTATGCGGTTCCAGGAATACAACCTCACTGTCGAATACTACAGGCTTCCCTTCCTCGTCATATTGGACCGCCCCCCGAAAAATGCATCCAAGGAAGTCCGCGGCGCCATTAGGGTCGACGTGCTTCACTGGTACTCTTCAAAGTGGGTCGGAGCAGATGTTCTTGTTTTCAATGCCGGCCACTGGTGGAACCACGACAAAACCATACACATGTATGACTAGTGTTACTCTGTGTTATATATCCACTAGTATATGACTCTGTTTGGTACATTTCTTACAAGTTCAAAGTTCAAAATCAGAAAGTAGAATTTAAAAGCACCAATTTCTCTTCGTTTCAATAATCAACTTTTTTCATCTTACATAAGTTATTTTTACCTTATAAGCTGCAGCAGGAGCAATGTCAATAATAATAATAATAGAAGAAACTATAAGCAACTAAATAAACTGTAACAAACAAGGGTTATTTATATGCTAAAGCTTGAGTTGTAATGGTAATGCATTTCAGGGGACTTTATTTCCAGGAAGGTGGGACTGTGAACATGAGCATGGATGTAATGGAAGCGTTTCGGAGGTCCTTGCAAACCTTGAAGTTGTGGTCAATTCAAAATTTAGATCCTGGAAAAAGTCATATTTTCTTCCGTAGCTACGCACCAGTGCATTACAGGTAAGTCAACTTCAAAGACACCACCAGTTTTAATGGAAACACTCTAAACATGAGTTTCATACATTCTCTTTCTTCGCAAAATCACATCACTATATAGGGGTGCTGTGTAATAACTTGATGTTCTTGACTTGAAACTTGAAATTGTAGGAATGGAACATGGAACGAAGGGGGAAGCTGTGATACTAACACAGCACCAGAAACCGACCACACAAAGATGGAAGCTGAGCCACCAAATAATCTGTTTATCTCTGACGTAGTTAAATTGATGGAAAGGGCTAATCGAAAAGCACAGTTCTTGAACATCTCATATCTATCAGAGTTTAGAAACGATGGTCACCCTTCAAGCCATCGCGAGCCAGGTACACCACCTGATGCTCCCCAAGACTGCAGCCACTGGTGCCTACCTGGTGTTCCGGATACATGGAATGAACTTCTCTATGCTCAACTACTCTCAAAGGGATTCAGAGCTAGGGCCAAATGAAAATCGGTGGTTACTTTAGTAGTTGAGATACTTCTAATTCAGGGTAATTGCTTAGCAATTTCATTGAGGTTAGCGTCAGTAGTTTCCAATTCTTTCGCCTTCTCAAGGGCCTCAGGAGATCTAACCTTTTCAGTCCATATGTGGATGGAGGGTATCTGCAAGAGAACAGAGTACTTGATAAGCCAGGGATAAGCTCCATTAAGCATTTAAGATAGAAAACTTGAGCTCTGGAAAATACTGACCAGCGTTGGTACATATCTTTGAATCATGGCTAACATGTCCAACTGCAGAAACCTGTTGTACATTTATTATGGCTCAGACATTGGATTATGATAACTCAAGCACCAAGAGAGGGGGAAAAAAATGGGCATGTTAATGTTATTTGTTTGAAAGAGGGAAAGCAAAGCAAGTAACAGACTTTGTTTGAGAAAAGTTTGATAAAACATACATATGAAAACAGTGTGATGACTCGCTTTATTTTGGTCAAACATTCATATCCTACCCAGACAAATAAAGCCACTGGAAATCAATTAATTATTTTGATATGCATGATTTTACACCCTAAAGTCGGGAATATAAAGGAATATATTAAAATAAATACATGGTTTATCTAAGGTTATAAATCCAAGAAACGTCACTAATGAATCTTTTGGTTAATAGCTAAGTAAGATCCGAGGAAGGTTGGACGAATCAATATAGCTTCCCTTCAAAGGTTGGTCAATATGGAAGTCTGTTGACCAAAATACCTCCCGCTTGATGTTAAGATTTGAAAACGCACTTGCGCAATACTTACTCCCCAAATAGGGAACACATTCCACCAATCAATACTTGAAATTAACATGTCATTATCTCATAAATTTACCTTAGTGATCGAAAATCTAATATCACCCTTATTAAGTTTCCCATTAAATTAGGTGTATTATGTTAAGATTAGAACAACAATCGAAATAACATTTACTACACAAGTATAGGCATTTAGGACAAAAATATAAAGAAATACAATCAAAACGTACATAGATGTTATATAAAAACTTGGACAAACAATACAAGGCACATCCAAATAAATAAGAGTATGAAACTACTAAAATTTACAAATGTCCAGATTTGATTTACTTAAAAGGTAACTATCAAAATGAAATTTTTAGAATTTTTTTTTTTTTTTTTCTGAACTCAACCTCTTTAGGGCTTATAGAGAATTTTGTTTAGTTTCAAAGCCTATTTACGGAAGTGGGATAGCTTTTTTAGATTTTTAGTTATTAATAAAATACTTCAGCTCTGTCCAAATTTGTTGACCGTTACGAAAATTGGAATTTCTCTTAAATCACTCACTTTTGTTCAGTCAAACCATTTTTAATTGAAAGCTAAACCTTAAGGAAAGTTTTGATATAAAAATGAAGATTTTTCTATAATATTTGAAAGTTGGTTGAAAATATCAATCTTTCTTGCATAAAACTTAAAATAAGAGGAGTAATAGAAAAAGAGAGCAACCATGGATAAATTTCCACTTCTATTATGATAAAAGCATGATAAACATTATAAAAATAACTCAAATTTTTATAAATGAGGTATGCCTTTGGAAATAATGTGAGAAGTGGATAGAAAAATATAGTTTTGCTTCCATTAAGGGAAAATACAAGTAAGAAAAGAAACAATGATCTAGTTATTCTATTCAAACACAAGAATGCTATGAATACACATGTGAAATTGTTACTTCAACAATGATAGAGACCACTAATTTTGAAGCTCTAAAAAGACCACTAATGACATGACACTCAATAAAAAAAGAAAAAAAATACAGCACCAAGGCCAAAACATCAAATCATTTCTGGTAGGACCCACTGCCACATCATTAGTGATAGCACTAATTAGTGCTCTCACTCATTTTCCTTGTTACTTTAAATCTTTAAGATCATGTATTTAAATGAGAAAATAAAAGAAAAGGTTGTGTTGTGGCTTACTTGAATGCCTAGTGAGGTGTTTCTCAAGAATTTCCTTTCTTTTTCTCTCCACCACGAAAGCTTTCTCTTCCTCTCTAACCGTGTGAGTGTTTGAGTGTTTGTGTGTGTGTGGTGGTTGATTTGTGAAGAAAGAGTAAAGGGGTGGTGGGGTATTTATAGGAAAAATGGTGTGAAAACTCTATAATGCCCATTGGTTGGAAATAAATTAAATAATTTGGACATTGTATATATTTTTACATGTATTTAAATATAATTGAACAGTCTTATTGATAATTTACTTTATTTTAAACATTGTATGTGTTTCTACATGTATATAAATATTAAAATTATATGTCATATTAAATAAAATGAATCTTATGATTCATATTCATGATTCTATACGATTCACAATTTATTATTTTAACAAAACAATTCACGATTTGATTCACAATTTGATAGCAATGCATGTGAGCATATAAATTTTGCAATCCTGATTTTTACTGGCAATGACAGGTTGATTGCAAAAATGTGAGAGGTTCAAGCAATGAAAAAAGAAAAATGACAAAAGCTATGACCAAAAAAAGGTCTTACCATCCCACTTCATAATAATTTTGGATATTGGGTTGATGTATAAATAATAGTATGCATAAAAAGAAGGGTAAATTACAATGACCACTGTTGGGATTTAGAAAAAATATAATAAACTTTACAAATTTTACATAATTATATCGAATTCCCTTTTTGTGAGGCCAAAATGACTAGGACTAATGCAGATGATGTTCAGACAAGGATAAAATATACATTTCAATATAAAAATGATAACATTTTTTCATATGACTAACAAATTATTGACGAAAAAATGGTAAAGTATTATCTGAATTAGAACCCTAAGGGAGCTTAGTATAATTATGTTAAGCTTGTGGTGCTCGATATATTTTCTTCAAATCTTAAGGGAGGTTAGTGTAATTTTATCCTAAAGGAACATAAGACTTTTTTAAATGTAGATGAAGTGAGGTTTGCAAAGTGCTCCAAGTTCATAGTGGTTTTAATGATCTATTCATAATGTAAACAAACAACATGTTGGTACAAATGAATACAAATAAATCATGAAGTTCCTATATAATATTTAATTTACAAGATTATTACAACTCATAGAAAGGAGCATGAGGAAACCAACAGGAATTTAAGATGTTACATCAGTTAAAGATCTTCAGAGAACTTTCCTTTCTTTCTCAATCAAGTCAACCCTATTTGGACCCTCCTAAGCAACCCCAAAGCTGCACAAACATCAATAGCAAGAAGTTGAGTGCCTTGCCAAACATCCTACTTGTTGATAACAAGATCATCAACAGTTCAAGGCATCAATTTCAAAACAGCATCTTCTTTCAACCGAAAGAAAGACTATTTTTCATGAGCAATTGAATCACTTCCTCACTTTTGATTCCACACACCATAGTGCTTTCAATAATGATAATTAACATTCAAAATCAACAAAATAATATATATAATTAAAAATAAATAAATAAAAAGTTAACTAAAATTTACCATGAATTGCATTATGCACTTAGTATGCATTTGTATTCAAGTGCAGTATCAAAGGTACACACCTAGCTACCCAAACACACAATTACATGCCTTGCCAGAATTGTGCTCGCGAAGATCAAAGTGTACATGTTAAACTCTCTTCTAAACACAGTTCCATTATACATTGCAAACTCATATTATGCCAAACATGTATATGCTCATCATGTCTAACAACTTCACAAGGCGGTATGGAAAATTCTCAACTATGTTGTGTAGTGTTACAAGTGTATGTCATGGTGAAACAATGCAAAATAAAAATCCACATGTGATTCCAAGCAATTCCAAGCAAGTACCCAACCCTTCTAAATCAAATGACATTGCTCTCAATGGTTAGCAAATAGACTAAAGCAATAAAGATAAGGAAGCTGATAGAAGTCACCAGATAGTAGAAGTACAAGCGAAAAGCAAACAACGCCCCACAACGTGCACAGTACCACACCAATTGGACAACAATATATACTATACAGACCCACAAAAGCAAAATAGAGAAAAATAAATAAAAAAGCACGCAAAGAATCAACAAAATGACATAACTTGAAGTCATTTCTTGACGTGAGTAAATGTCAAAGTCCAAAGACGACCCTTTTGACAAAGTCGTAAGACTTGGACAAACTAACAAGATGCAAATGCAGTTGGTTGAACTCGAAGGTTGCCTACGAATCCCTTTGCAAAGAATCAAACAAACGTAGTTCAGGAACAAGATGCAAATGATATGCTCCAAATACAAATGAAAACTGGACTTACATGCTTCACGAAGCCATCTTTTTTTCTTTTTGAAAATTCATGCTCTACAATGCAATGCAACAGGTAATACACAGTGAGGCAAGCCTTGTGCAAATGATATGAAGCATAACAGGGGATACAATCCAAACACACTCACATAAGAAAATGAAATGTAACCAATGAATACTTTTAACCTACAACCCAAAACAGGAGAGGTATCAACCAAAGACGGTTTGAACTGACAGCCCGAGACAGGGATAACATTGTCATCTCGAAGAGGGGCCAGCATTAACAGATGGAAAAAGTTATAATCAAATGTTGATGTGAACAGATTGTAGTCAAGTAATGCAACAGTGCAATAATTGTAACCATGCAAATGATATGCTAATGCAAGTGAAAGTTGAATTTTTTCTTTTCTTTTTGAAAGTGCATGATTTATGCAATACAATATGTATGATGCAAAACAAAGGGGTACAATCCAAACACAATCACATGAAAAGATAAAAGAAAGTTTTAATCAGACAGCAGGACCTAGATCATACCTCGATATGAAATATAGGATTGATTTCAACCGGATAAAAGAGAAATGGGTCTTAACCAATACACAAGACCTAAACCGTACCTCAATATGAAATAGGGCGATGGTTTCAACCGAGTAAAGGACGAAAAGGGTCTTAACCAATATACAAGACCTAGACTGTGCCTCAATACGAAATAGGGCGATGGTTTCAGCCGAGTAAAGGAGAAAAGGGTCTTAACCAATATACAAGACCTAGACCCTACCTCAATACGAAATAGGGTGATGTGATGGTTTCAACCGGGTAAAAGAGAAATGAGTCTTAACCAATATACAAGACCTATACCACACCTCAATACGAAATAGGGCGATGGCTTCAACCGGGTAAAGAAGAAATGTTGTAACCAAAAAGTTTGAAGTGATGTGAATGGATTGTAACCATACTTGATAGATGTAATAGACGGTGCAAGGGTGATGGTAATGCAAAAACATGAAAGGATAATGTGAGACATACAATATGCAATGTGATGAATACACAACAATAATATGATGGATGCACAGCAGATGAATACATAAAAGATTTTTTTTTTCTTCTTCTTTTAATTTTTTTTTATATTTTTGTTTTGAATTTTTTTTTGACAAATTTATATATATAAACCATATATACATATACAGATACAAATAATATACAAAATACATACTACGTACATATACATACACATACAAAATATATACATACAAACTATATACATATACATACAGATACATGCATACATACATATAC